TGTTCCGAATGAGAATCGGTTACCAAGGAAGTAGATCCCGTATGTCAACAAAGAGTTACGGAGCGCGAAAGGGTACGGACGGTGTAAAGGAGCGGAGATAGAAAAAGCAAAATACGCAAGGAAGAAAACATCCAGACAGGTTTGACTCACACAAATATGTTTGGTGTTGGTTTCACCGCCATTTAAAATTAATTATATTTTGCAAAATTGAAATATAAACTCTTAATTTGTTATATTCATTGGTTATCAACACGCAACACAGAGGGGTACCTGATTGATGCATCAAAGGAGAGCACTATCAAGGAATCATCACATTCAAGATTCTTAATTTTCACAAATTCTACCTGTTTGTTTTTTTTATTACAAACAATATTTAAGAAATGCTATTTTTTTTACGGAGATTTTTTTTTTTTTTGCATACATACAAGTAGAGTAAATAGAATAGTTTACAAAAGTGCACTGTGTGTATCAATCATAGGATAGCACTATCAACTTCAAGCAAAATCAACTAATTCAAGGTCCTTAATTTTCAAGAATTCATTTGTTTTTGATAAACAAACAATTTTTAAATATTTGACACACCTTTTTTATAGGAAGGTATTAAAGTATACAAGTATATATATAAAAAATTTACCGACGCATGTTCCATACTTTTTAATCAATCGAGCTATGCAGGTGGGGCATATAAAATTATCACGCACAAAAAGGAAGTTAAGTTCGACAAGATCATGTAGACTTCTCTATGGAAGTCAGGTATTGAGGTATATAAATTGAAACAGGGACCAATTTTCGCTACTCTATCAACCTACTTTTTATAAGGCAAATACTTTTAATATCAATCAGTTGCGTAAATTATATTTACAAATGTAATTGATTATCATTATTTTTAATGATTTTTTTTATTTTCAAAAATGATTTAAAATATCTCTTAAAATCCCGGGATTTTTACACCGTATCCGCTCTGAACGTTACTTATAGAAATAACCCGGATACTGTTACCATGACCACGAGTTGCAGGCCGCGAAGGCTTTGGATACACGGAAAGAAGGAGAGGTTTATTAAAAACAGAAATTGGGGTCTATAAAAGAGAAAAACAGGTTTGGAGATATTATAATGCGTTTTATATCAATGTTCTTATTTAATCTTTATAATTTTTATTCAAAAATACAGGAAATCATCAACGTTTCATGCATTGTTTACATACAGAAAACTGGTTTTCAGAGGAGCCTGAATGTATTGTCATGAAATAAGTGCAAGTAGGACTTTCCAAACTCTGATAACTCAAGAGAAAATCATAGGCCTACTGCGATACTCTCTGGAATAATTTTTGGATTTGTTTATGTTCATAACATATATTCTCACATGGTTGAATTTGAAATTTTTTTTTTTGCATTATAAACAAACAATGCAATTTATGGACTAAAATATAACACACTGACAAACTGGAATGATAAAAAAGTCAAGATCATAAAAATGTATTTTAAAGGAACATATATTTCCCTTTTCAAGTTTACTAAAAACAGCAAAAGGAAAACGATACCAGCTTCTTATATCCTTGCTTTTGACTATGGTATGAACTCAAGTCACATTCTGAATGAGTAGTGTAAGTGGTACCAGTTGCTTATGACCCTGCTTCTGTTAATGCTATAAACAAACCAAGTGGATTAAAAAACTGTTTTGAGCCACTCACTCATAAAACTTCAGAATGTGACTTGTACTAAATCTTGGCTGTGACAGAAACCAAAAAACAACAGCGATCAAAGTCTACTTGCCAGCAGTACACAGATTTAAAATGGTAAGTTTATTTTCTTGTCTGTTTTTAAATCTTTAGCGAGTCTCCATATGAGTGAGAAATTCTCGAGAGGGACCTTAAACAACACATCATTAATCAATCAATCTTGCATTTTTCAGTTGAATATGATGGGCATGACCAAAGAGAGAAGTGGACATTGTTGATGCACCCAAGCCACATTCTGAATAGGTAGTGTAAGCGGTACCTGTTGCTAATGTCCCTATTCTTTTTTATGCTTTAAACAAACCCAGTGGATTAAAAAACTGCTTTGAGCCACTCACTCATAAAACTTCAGAATGTGACTTGTACTAAATCTTGGCTGTGACAGAAACTATAAAAACAACAGCGATCAAAATTGACTTGTCAACAGTACACAGATTTAAGATAGTAAGTTTATTTTCTTGTCTGTTTTAAAATCTTTAGTGGGTCTCCATATGAGAGAGAAATCCTCGAGAGGGACCTTTAACAACACATCATTAATCAATCAATCTTGTATTTTTCAGTTGAATATGATGGGAATGGCCAAAGAGAGAAGTGGACATTGTTGATGCACTCAAGTCACATTCTGAATAGGTAGTGTAAGTGGTACCAGTTGCTAATGTCCCTGGTTTTGTTTATACTATAAACAAACCCAGTGGATTAAAAAACTGCTTTGAGCCACTCACTCATAAAACTTCAGAATGTGACTTGTACTAAATCTTAACTCTGAAAGAAACCAAAAAAAAAACAGCGATCAAGGTCTACTTGCCAGCAGTACACAGATTTGAGAAAGTAAGTTTATTTTCTTGTCTGTTTTTAAATCTTTAGTGGGTCTCCATATGAGTAAAAATCCTCGAGAGGGACCTTTAACAACACATCATTAATCAATCAATCTTGTATTTTTCTGTTGAATATGAAGGGCATGGTCAAAGAGAATAATTGACACTGTGATGCACTCAAGTCACATTCTGAATATGGAGTGTAAGTGGTACCAATTGCTTATGTCCCTGGTTTTGTTTATACTATAAACAAACCCAGTGGATTAAAAAACTGCTTTGAGCCACTCACTCATAAAACTTCAGAATGTGACTTGTACTAAATCTTGGCTGTCATAGAAACCAACAAACAACAACGATCAAGATCTACTTGTCAGCAGTACACAGATTTAATATAGTAAGTTTATTTTCTTGTCTGTTTTTAAATCTTTAGTGGGACTCCATATGAGTAAAAATCCTCGAAAGGGACCTTCAACAACACACCATTAATCAATCAATCTTGTATTTTTCAGTTGAATATGATGGGCATGGCCAAAGAGAGAAGTGGACATTGTTGATGCACTCAAGTCACATTCTGAATAGGTAGTGTAAGTGGTACCAGTTGCTAATGTCCCTGGTTTTGTTTATTCTATAAACAAACCCAGTGGATTAAAAAACTGCTTTGAGCCACTCACTCATAAAACTTCAGAATGTGACTTGTACTAATTCTGGACTGTGATAGAAACCATAAAAACAACAGAGATCAAGATCTACTTGCCACTAGTACACAGATTGAAGATAGTAAGTTTATTTTCTTATCTGTTTTTAAATCCTTAGTGGTCTCCATACAGAGTGAGAAATCCTCTTGTCTATTTTTAAAGGGAACTTTAACAACACACATCATTAATCGATCAACCTTGTATTTTTCAGTTGAATATGATCGGCATGGCCAAAGATAGAAGTGGACATTGTTGATGCACTCAAGTCACATTCTGAATAGGTAGTGTAAGTGGTACCAGTTGCTAATGTCCCTGGTTTTGTTTATGCTATAAACAAACCCAGTGGATTAAAAAACTGTTTTGAGCCACTCACTCATAAAACTTCAGAATGTGACTTTTACTAAATCTTGGCTGTGATAAAAGCCCAGAATCAACAACAATCAACGAAGAGTAGTTGATAGCAGCACAAAGATTAAAAACAGCAAGTTTATTTTCTTCTCTGTTTTTAAATTTTTCTTGGGTCTTCATCTAAGTGTAAAATTCTCGACAGGGACCTTAAACAACACATCATTAATCAATCAATCTTGCATTTTTCAGTTGAATATGATGGGCATGACCAAAGAGAGAAGTGGACATTGTTGATGCACTCAAGTCACATTCTGAATAGGTAGTGTAAGTGGTACCAGTTGCTAATGTCCCTGGTTTTGTTTATGCTATAAACAAACCCAGTGGATTAAAAAACTGCTTTGAGCCACTCACTCATAAAACTTCAGAATGTGACTTGTACTAAATCTTGGCTGTGATAGAAACCATAAAAACAACAGCGATCAAGATTGACTTGTCAGCAGTACTCAGAGTTAAGATAGTAAGTTTATTTTCTTGTCTGTTTTTAAATCTTTAGTGGGTCTCCATATGAGAGAGAAATCCTCGAGAGGGACCTTAAAACACATCATTAATCAATCAATCCTGTATTTTTCTGTTGAATGTGATGGGCATGGCCAAAGAGAGAAGTGGACATTGTTGATGCACTCAAGTCACATTCTGAATAGGTAGTGTAAGTGGTACCAGTTGCTAATGTCCCTGGTTTTGTTTATGCTATAAACAAACCCAGTGGATTAAAAAACTGCTTTGAGCCACTCACTCATAAAACTTCAGAATGTGACTTGTACTAAATCTTGGCTGTGATGGAAACAATAAAAACAACAGCGATCAAGATCTACTTGCAAGCAGTACACAGATTTAAGATAGTAAGTTTATTTTCCTGTCTGTTTTTAAATCTTTAGTGGGTCTCCATATGAGTGAGAAATCCTCGACTGGAAACATAAACACATCATTAATCAATCAATCTTGTATTTTTCAGTTGAATATGATGGGCATGGCCAAAGAGAGAAGTGGACATTGTTGATGCACTCAAGTCACATTCTGAATAGGTAGTGTAAGTGGTACCAGTTGCTAATGTCCCTGGTTTTGTTTCTACTTTAAACAAACCCAGTGGCTTAAAAAACTGCTTTGAGCCACTCACTCATAAAACTTCAGAATGTGACTTGTACTAAATCTTGGCCGTGACAGAAACCAAAAAAATAAAACAACAGCGATCAAGAACTACTTGCCAGCAGTACACAGATTTAATATAGTAAGTTTATTTTCTTCTCTCTTTTTAAATCTTTAGTGGGCCTCAATGTGAGTGAAAAAATCTCGACAGGGACTTAAACAACACATCATTAATCAATCAATCTTGTATTTTTCTGTTGAAAATGATGGGCATGGCCAAAGAAAGAAGTGGACATTGTTGATGCACTCAAGTCACATTCTGAATAGTGTAAGTGGTACCAGTTGCTAATGTCTCTGATTTTGTTTATGCTATAAACAAACCCAGTGGATTAAAAACTGCTTTGAGCCACTCACTCATAAAACTTCAGAATGTGACTTGTACTAAATCTTGGCTGTCATAGAAACCAACAAACAACAACGATCAAGATCGACTTGTCAGCAGTACACAGATTTATTATAGTAAGTTTATTTTCTTCTTTAGTGGGTCTCCATATGAGTAAAAATCCTCGAAAGGGACCTTCAACAACACACCATTAATCAACCAATCTTGTATTTTTCAGTTGAATATGATGGACATGGTCAGAGAGAGAATAGGACATTGTTGATGCACTCAGGTCACATTCTGAATAGGTAGTGTAAGTGGTACCAACCGCTAATATCCCTGGTTTTGTTTATCCTATAAACAAACCCAGTGGATAAAAACTGCATTGAGCCACTCACTCATAAAAGTTCAGAATGTGACTTGTACTAAATCTTGGCTGTGATAGAAACCAACAAACAACAGCGATCAAGATCTACTTGCCAGCAGTACACAGATTTAAGATAGTAAGTTTATTTTCTTCTCTGTTTTTAAATCTTTAGTAGTCTCCCTAAGAGTGAGAAATTCTCGAAAGGGAACTTTAATAACACATAATTAATCAATCAATCTTGTATTTTTTTTCCCAGTTGAATATGATGGGCATGGTCAGAGAGAAAATTGGACATTGTTGATGCACTCAAGTCACATTCTGAATAGGTAGTGTAAGTGGTACCAGTTGCTAATGTCCCTGGTTTTGTTTATGCTATAAACAAACCCAGTGGATTAAAAAACTGTTTTGAGCCACTCACTCATAAAACTTCAGAATGTGACTTTTACTAAATCTTGGCTGTGATAAAGGCCCAGAATCAACAACGATCAACGAAGTGTAGATGTCAGCAGCACAAAGATTAAAAACAGTAAGTTTATTTTCTTCTCTGTTTTTAAATTCTTTCTTGGGTCTTCATCTAAGTGTAAAATTCTCGACAAGGACGTTAAACAACAAATCATTAATCAGTCAATCTTGTATTTTTCAGTTGAATATGATGGGCATTGTCAGAGAGAGAAGTGGACATTGTTGATGCACTCAAGTCACATTCTGAATAGGTAGTGTAAGTGGTAACATTTGCTAATGTCCCTGGTTTTGTTTTTGCTATAAACAAACCCAGTGGATTAAAAAACTGTTTTGAGCCACTTACTCATAAAACTTCAGAATGTGGCTTGTACTGAATCTTGGCTGTGACAGAAAAAAAAAATCAACAGCGATCAAAGTCTACTTGCCAGCAGTACACAGATTTAAGATAGTAAGTTTATTTTCTTCTCTGTTTTTAAATCTTTAGTGGGCCTCAATGTGAGTGAAAAAATCTCGACAGGGACTTAAACAACACATCATTAATCAATCAATCTTGTATTTTTCTGTTGAAAATGATGGGCATGGCCAAAGAGAGAAGTGGACATTGTTGATGCACTCAAGTCACATTCTGAACAGTGTAAGTGGTACCAGTTGCAAATGTCCCTGGTTTTGTTTATGATATAAACAAACCCAGTGGATTAAAACCTGTTTTGAGCCACTCACTCATAAAACTTCAGAATGTGACTTGTACTAAATCTTTGCTGTGATAGAAACCATAAAAACAACAGCGATGAAGATCGACTTGTCAGCAGTACACAGATTTAAGATAGTAAGTTTATTTTCTTGTCTGTTTTTAAATCTTTAGTGGGTCTCCATATGAGAGAGAAATCCTTGAGAGGGACCTTAACAACACATCATTAATCAATCAATCTTGTATTTTTCAGTTGAATATGATGGACATGGTCCGAGAGAGAATTGGACATTGTTGATGCACTCAAGTCACATTCTGAACAGTGTAAGTGGTACCAGTTGCAAATGTCCCTGGTTTTGTTTATGCTATAAACAAACCCAGTGGATTAAAAAACTGTTTTGAGCCACTCACTCATAATACTTCAGAATGTGACTTGTACTAAATCTTGGCTGTGATAGAAACCAACAAACAACAGCGATCAAGATCTACTTGCCAGCAGTACACAGATTTAAAATAATAAGTTTATTTTTTTGTCTGTTTTTAAATCTTTATTGGGTCTCAGTTTGAGTGAAAAATTCTCGACAGGAACGTTAAACAAAATATTATCAATCAATCAATCGTGTATTTTTTTTCAGTTGAATATGAGGCATGATATAAAGAAAGCCAATGGATTAGAAAACTGTTCCGAGCCACTCAAGGAAACAACACCGATCTTCTATTTCACTTTTTGAAGACAAGAGAGAAGTGGATACTGTTGATGTACTCAAGTCACATTCTGAATTGGTAGTGTGAATGGAACCAGTTGCTAATGTCCCTGGTTTTGTTTATGCTATAAACAAACCCACTGGATTGAAAAAAACTGTTTTGAGCCACTCACTCACAAAACTTCAGAATGTGATTTGTACTTAATCTTGGTTGTGATAGAAACCAAGAATCAACAATGATGAACGAAGTGTAGTTGTCAGCAGCACAAAGATTAAAAACAGTAAGTTTATTTTCTTCTCTGTTTTTAATTCTTTATTGGGTCTCCTTGTGAGTTAAAAATTCTCGAGAGAGACGCTAAAACACATCATAATCAATCAATCAATTTTGTATTTTTCAGTTGAATGTGAAGGGCATGGTCAAAAAGAATGATGGACATTGTAATGAAATCGTCACATTCTAAATAGGTAGTGTAAGTGGTACCAGTTGCTAATGTCCCTGGTTTTGTTTATGCTATAAACAAACCCAGTGGATTAAAAAACTGTTTTGAGCCACTCACTTATAAAACTTCAGAATGTGACTTGTACTAAATCTTGGCTGTGATAAAAGCCAGGAAACAACAGCGATCAAAGTGTAATTGTCAGCAGCACACAGATTTAAAACAGTAAGATTACTTTCTTGTATATTTTTAATTTCTAGGTGGGTCTCCATACGAGTGAAAAATTCTCGAGACGGACGTTAAAAACACATAATAAATCAATCAATCAATTTTGTATTTTTCAGTTGAATATGACGGGCATGGTCAAAGAGAGAAGTGGACATTCTTTGATGCACTCATTAGTCTTATTCCGAATAGGTATTGTAAGTGGTACCAGTTGCTAATGTACCTTGTTTTGTTTAAGCTAGAGGTATTGGTCTAGAATAAGACATCCCCTATGGATAGGTTCGATCACTCTAGATCAAGACTTTCATAAGAAGTCTCACTAAGGGGAAGTTTTACACTACAACACTGGAGAGCTTTGAATATAAGAATGACAAATCATTTCACTTGCCAGGCAAGTTAAATGTCTTTTTCACATTATAAAGTTTATTTCAAACATAAACACAGGTTTTGAATCATAAATAGATATTGATTTTTATCCCCAAAGGCCATCGGCGCCTAAAAAGTTTGTGTAATCCTCATATTATTGCTCATGCAACATAAATATGAAAGGGAAGAACATGTCTGACAATGTAATCCCTGTTTACAGAAACTGTAATATACATTGATCCAAGCTCATCCACAGCTCGGTTTGATGCAGAGATTCCCATACATTTTTATGGATATAAACTTCAACCACAAGTCGTAAACTGCAAAATAAGAGTGATAAACGTGAAGTGGCCATACTTCTCACAATATCGAATCCACCATCGTTTGTCTTTTCTAATCCCTGTTTTGGTACTGGCTCGTTATCTTGTATTAATCCACCGGTTACCATACATAAAATGGGTTTTGAAAATCACCCTCTTTCTTTACTGGTTAATTGACCATGCGATTGATAAGAAGCTCTCCCATTTTGGAGACGTGAAGAAGAACTACATTACACTGACCTATGACCTTACAATTTGCGCCCTTCTGTCTATGTGAAGGATGGCATCATTCATTTTCTGAATAATCGGGATTTTCATGATATCCCGTTATTTTGATACATTATGCAGAATTCTTTGAAGATTTCACATGTTGTCAGAGTTTGATATGGACAACAAAACGATTTCTAGTTTTCAAAATGATGATGCTAATAATAATGATGATAATGGTATGTTTATCGGGTCATAACTTGGATTTTATTACTTCAATCTTTTTGATACGAGAGTCAATCAAAAATACAATGGACCATCTGATGACAAGTTTTTCAAAATTTTTTCATCATCTCAATCATTTTACAAAAGTTGTTAATTTTCTAACTTTTACATCACTGCCTCTTATGAATTATGAATTACTTTTAATCATAGACGTCATTGTAATCTTATTATTTCGCCTAACGTCTGCTTGCAACAGGTTGTCGGATAATCACACAACCTGCGTCTCTCCGGAGTCTTAATTTTTACTGACTACAATGATTTTCTGTCACTTGAACCCGTTTCTTGATCAACAAGTAGTTTATCAGTATTGATTTGTATCCCGTGGTTAATACAAGGACTATGATTTTTCAAATCTTAAGAAACTTAACATTCAAAGAACTTGGGTAAATTAGTCTGTATAATAGCCCATTCGTTAATTTCAAAAATTTAAGTGAAAAAACTTTTTAAAATTATGCAACTACATTTAATATGCTATAGTATACTAAAGTTTCATTAGCATTGACATTGAAGCAAGTAAAGTGCACACCAAACAATAAGTAATTAACGTACTTTTTTTATTTTATTTCTCGGCACTTTTGACTGGATCGCTGCTTCATGTTATTAAAATGTATCTCAGCTATAAACCGGGATTGTTTTTCATCGCCGCACAAACCGTTATTTCATAGAGTTATTTTACTATAAACCCGATAATTTTATTTTACAGTGAAGTTATAGGCATCTCATACTAGTACTTATCACACACACACACCCCGAAAAAAAATTAACCAAAAATTTATTTGACATTTAATTAATTTTTCATGAAAATAAATATATATCATGTTTAGTATGAAATCTTATAGTAAATAGTTCAAATCATTCAGTCCCATCCCAAAAAAGAAAACGCTTAAAATCGTAAAACTCTTAGTTTCAACAACATCTCACAGCGCAGCTGTACTACATGTATCTGTGTACAAATTTTTGAATATATGTCAAGTATTTAACTGTACCATTAGTGTTTTGGTCACATATTTACCTTCTACAGCCAAGCATTAATTTTTTTTACAAAGAATGTCTGACAAAATTCTCAAAATTTGTATTTTTATAAGTTTCCCCATATTATATGGTGGGTATCATGTAGTTCTTCAAAAGGGAAAAAAAAAGAAAACGAAAAACCAGAACTAACAACAAAAAAAGGCAACAAAAGCTGATTTTTCAAGCTCGATACCAGTGGGTTTGCATTGGATTTGGAAGCTAATAGGAAAATTATTTTAATGATTTTAAAATTTTAAATTTTCAGATATGAATGACTCATTTTAATTCTATACATGTAGCAAAGGCAGCTATTTTGGATATATCTAAACGCAATGAACTATGAAAGACACTTACATATCGGTACCAGGGACATTTTGTACTTGTAGTTTGCAAAACTCCATGTATACATTTTTTATTCCAATGAATACTTTTGAAAATTGTCCAACAAAACTTTTGTACCAATATATACCAGGGGCATTTTTAGAAACCAGTTTGAACAATAAAAGAAATAGAAAAACTCATGCTTCTAAGTAATTATTTGGACATTTACTGAGAAAAATGAAATTTATTCTATTTTATTTTTCGTTACTTATGAAACTGGTGGCCACTTTGATTGACTGATTGATTGATTGTATAGTGTTTTCACTCATATGGAGACGCCACCACTTGCCGGTGGAGAGCTGCAA